TATATATATATATATATATATATATATATATATATATATATATTTAAATATTATCCTGATTTTTTTTTATACTATTTATGTCATGTAGCATTACTATCATATATATTATATGCAGGGAAAGAAAGTTCAATCCTGAAACCTATTAAAAATAGTCAAAGCTCCCTGTCACCTAATCTGTGTTGCCAAAAGGTTTTCATGACGTATAATGGCTAATTTTCGATTTAGCGGCGATTTATCGCTACCAAATGTTCGATGGCAATAGATTGTCGCATGCAAAAAATGTTTCAAGAGGGTTTGCCTTCTTGCCTGACAAATAGTGATTTTGTTGGTCCATTATGAGTCTCGCTCAATTTTTTAATTTTTCTTTGCTTTGTACACTACATTTTTGTCCAAAAGCTATTCGTCCTTTAAATTTCTTTCTTTTTTCTTTGAAGATGTGTGGTCCAATACTTGGACTATTGTTTATGCCTTTGACTTCCTCCCGGTTCCATGAAATCTTGCGCAAACACAAAGCTAAATCAAAGATAAATTTCTGATTAGTTCTCCGTAGATTATGTCACTATCTCTCTCGATAATAATAATTTTTCTTAGTTTTTGTATATATACACATTATTTATTAAATTATAGATACTGATGTATTTGGAATTCTTATAGTATAAAGCGTTATGCAAATACGATCTCGGTGGTCGATTAGCCGGTGGAGCCAAGGAGGCAACGTTTTTGCCTCTGAAAAATTTATAAAATATTGAATCAAGAGGCCAGTTATGCCTTTTTTTCATAACTTTATTTGCCTATATTTATAAATAAAAACAATATTATTTGTATTTGTAGCCATTACTTGATAAAATCTAATAAAAAATTATAATGCAACCACAAAGTAGCTGTAAAATGAGCACAATTATCGAATCACATAAATCTCTATATTGTGTTTTTTTTTACTCTATTTTTTTTGTTTGATTGGTTTTCTAACATTATTTTATTTTTAATATTGCTTGTATCTTTGGTATCCATTTCAAAAACATATATATATATCAAGTAAATTTCTTCTCTATATGATCATTTTAGGCTTAAATTTAAAGGGAGGAACTTCATGCCGAAGACAAAAAGATTATTTATTTATTTATTTATACACCATAAATTAATTCCGATTAAAATTTTATCAGGAAAGAATTTAATGCCGATACAAATAACTTGAAAGTATCCTAACTTTGGAAAAGAAAAGATGCTGCAACTAAGAAAAAGATTACAGAACTTTCCTCCAGCAGATGCTCACATAAAAAGATTTAAAGTCTTTGGTTGTTCTTTCTTGAAGTTCCAAATTAGCCCTAAGAAGATATTCTACATTTTAAACAATACACATGATTTATGCATATTTTTCATGTAAATTTGTTGGAATTGATACTTCCTAAAGTTTCTAAAGTAGTTGGTGAAATCTAGCATAGCATATGATTCTGCTCCAACTAGTTCCTATCTTTGATGGGTCCAATGAAGATTACATGTCGACAGTATCGAACATTGACAAAGTAATATTGATGATCTGTCAAACGTCTGTGACATTTACATCAACATTTCTGTCAATCATATAAATTATAAAAACAAATTGGGTTGAATAAGAAGTTTCAAGAATTGCCGTTGGCCAATTGGGTGTAATGATCCCAATCTCTTCAAACATGAATCACATGGTTTTTGTCCCACATGCTTCTCTATCAATTTTGGATCCATAAAACCATGAAGAAATAATAAATTATGTTGAAATCTGTTGGAATTAGATAGCGAAAGAGTTAAAAAGTAGGTTTTCCAGAGCTTCAAAGATATTTTTCTTCGACTTTAATTACGGATTTAAAGTTTTTTTTTTTTTTCAAATAGGTTTAGCCTAACCACTGTAACATCCAACTAGCTTTACTAATGAAATAAGATTCGAGTTTTGATGATTTCAGTTTTTTTGATGATTATGTAACTGGGAGGGCTACCCCATTGTGTAGCTTAATAGGTTAATTGGACATCCGGTGAATAAAAAAAAAAACAACCTTTTCATTATATTTAAAAACTCACTAAAATATATATAAAAAATCCAAACTAAGAGATAAATTGTGCATTTTTTGTGGGATTTTTCATCTCCTTGGCCAGCTTTGATTCCGGTAGATCATCTGTACATTTGAATAGTTGAATCAGAAATGATGATTTGAACTAAGTTTCTAGATTGACTGTTTAAGATGTTTGATCTAATTAAATCACATGGACTCGATCAAAACCTAATCATCATGTTCAAACCCATCAAACAGGATAGGTTAAAAATGATATATATGTATTCCTTAGAATGTTATCAATTTTAGAATTTATTTTCTAATTATTATTTTATATTATATAATTATCTATCGGTTTAATTGGTGCTTTGGTGGCCTGGTGCCTTGGCTAGGTTAAGCCTTGAACTACGTTTGACAATTTTGTCAAGGATCTCCTAGATTAATGAAGCAGGACTCTAGCACATCATAACCAAACTCACCAAATTACAGAAAAATGATGGGTAAATGATTCAAGAGAAGAAAAAGTCAAGCGCCTTGCTAAATGTCACTAGGCCATTAGACAATGAGTTTTTCCAATGTTTGAACTTTGTCTTTTCTTCAAACTTTTGTATTGAGTTAAAAATTTTTTACTTTAGACTATTTTTTGTACCGTCACTAATAAATGATCGATATGTAATATTATATAATAAGAAATTTTAAAAAATAAAAGTGTATTGTTGCGTAGCGTTATAATAAAAAGTCTAAAACAAAAAGTTTCAAAGAGTAAAAAATCTCAATAAAAAAAAATTAAAAAGGACATGATTCAAATGTGGAGAAAACCGATTAGATAACAAACATGTTTTTTTTCTTTAATAAATAAAATTCATTAGGGTATTTAAATACATCGAACTTAAGATGAAATTATTTTCATTAACAAAATGGTAAGCATATCTTTAAAGATTTATTGGTTGAGAGGAGTTTATGGTTCTCCTAGAAGAGTGTTACTATACTAGAAAGAAATAGACTCACCTATTTCAATTTTAAAAAGAACGAATTACGTCAAGGATCTCCTAGACTAACGAATCGGGGCTCTAGCACATCATAACCAAACTCACCAAATTACAGAAAAATGATGGGTAAATGATTCAAGAGAAGAAAAGGTCAAGTGCCTAGCTAAATGTCACTAGGCCATTACACAATGGGTTTTTCCAACATTTGAACCTTGTCTCTTCTTTGAACTTTTTGTATTGAGAATTTTTTATTCTTTCAAAACTTTTTACTCTAGACTCTCTTTTATAATGCCACCAATCAGTTATCAATACGTAATATTATACAATATGAAATCTCAAAAAATGAAAGCATCTTGTCGTCACTAATTGGTAGTGTTATAATAAAAAGTCTAAAACAAAAAATTTCAAAAAGTAAAAATCTCAATATAAAAAAATAAAATAAAAGATCTCAATCAAAAAAATTCGAAAAAGACATGGTTCAAACGTGGAGAAAACCAATTAGACAACAAACATGTTTTTTTTTTTAATAAATAAAATTCATTAGGGTATTTAAATACATTGAACTTAAGATGGAATTATTTCCATTAACAAAATGGTAAGAGTATCTTTAAAAATTTATTGGTCGAGAGGAGTTTATTGTTCTCCTAGAAGAGTGTTACTATACTAGAAATAAATAGACTCACTTATTTCAATTTAAAAAAGAATGAATTATGTCAAGGATCTCCTATAGAAAAATGATGGGTAAATGATTCAAGAGAAGAAAAAGTCAAGTGCTTGGCTAAATGTCACTAGGCCATTATACAATGGGTTTTTCCAACGTTTGAACCTTGTCTCTTCTTCGAACTTTTTGTATTGAGAATTTTTTATTCTTTCAATATTTTTTACTCTAGACTCTCTTTTATAATGTCATCAATCAATTATCGATACGTAATATTATATAATAAGAAATCTCAAAAAATAAAAGTGTCTTATCGATCACTAATTGGTAACGTTATAATAAAAAATCTAAAACAAAAAATTTTAAAGAGTAAAAAATCTTAATATATATATATAAAAAATAAAAGGTTTCAATAAAAAAAATTCGAAAATGACATGATTCAAATGTGGAGAAAACCAATTAGACAACAAACATGTTTTTTTTTCTTTAATAAATAAAATTCATTAGGGTACTTAAATAGATTGAACTTAAGATGGAATTATTTCCATTAACAAAATGGTAAAAGTATCTTTAAAGATTTATTGGTTGAGAGGAGTTTATTGTTCTCCTAGAAGAGTGTTACTATACTAGAAATAAATAGACTCACTTATTTCAATTTAAAAAAGAATGAATTATGTCAAGGATCTCCTACAGGAAAATGGTAGGTAAATGATTCAAGAGAAGAAAAAGTCAAGTGCCTGGCTAGCTAAATGTCACTAGGCCATTAGACAATAGGTTTTTCCAATGTTTGAACCTTGTCTCTTATTCGAATTTTTCGTATTGAGAATTTTTTATTGTTTCAATATTTTTTACTCTAGACTCTCTTTTATAATGCCACCAATCAATTATTGATATATAATATTATATAATAAGAAATCTCAAAAAATAAAAATTTCTTATCGATTACTAATTGATAACGTTATGATAAAAAGTCTAAAACAAAAAATTTCAAAAAATAAAAAATCTCAATATATATAAAAAAAAGTCTCAATAAAAAAAATTCTAAAAGGTTGAGAAAACCGATTAGACAACAAACTTGTTTTTTTTTCTTTAATAAATAAAATTCATTAGGATAATTAAATACACTGAACTTAAGATGGAATTATTTCCATTAACAAAATGGTGAAGAGTATCTTTAAAGATTTATTGGTTGAGAGGAGTTTATTGTTCTCCTAGAAGAGTGTTCCTATACTAGAAAGAAATAGACCCACTTATTTCAATTTAAAAAAGAATGAAAAATACTACATATGATGACCATGTTCGGAACTTGCAGCTCTAGTCTCAGCCATGCTACCATATCAAAAGCCAAAATGAACTACCATACAGCCACCTCCACTTTGCAGACACAGCAATCCTGCAAGAAGGAAAAAGAGAGGGGTCAGGTATACCTTTACAAAGGCACACGCAAATAACTATGAGAAGATTACTTTTAGTAACTGCTAAACAGCAATCAACATATCAAAGCGAGAATAAATAACTTACCTTGTGATCTTCAAGCCATTTTTTAACGCAATCCTCATGATATTGGTGTGCACAGGGCAAAGTCATCAAGCGATCCCCCTCTCGTACTCCATTTTGCATATCACACACCTAGACGCAGACATGAGAGAAGAATTAAAGAGGAGATAAGCACAATCACAATTCAGAAGCTATTTTCATGAAGGATAAAGTATTAGAAGCCAGGCACTATCGATGACATAGCCATGGTCTTTTATTTGCATATGCATGTGTCTCTATGTGCATAGTTATCTCTTGCAGATAAAGGTTGTGCTGAATAGAACTTATAGTTGAAGTTAATAATTCTCTCACTCTGTATCTCCTCCTGATTTGCCTCTTGTGCTTGATGGACTGTACTTGTGCTTAGGCAACCTAGAAATTGCTTCCTGCGACAGGCCTTTGCTTACCCTGCCCAAGGATTCTTCGAATCGACTCGTTTCCTACACAAAATACAGGATCTCAAAGTTATGTCCATATCACAAAGATGGCAGTAAGAACTTGTGAGTTAGATGATAAATAAAGACCAATGCCAAGACTTCTTGAACATATGGAAGACTGAGCTTTTCACTTTGATTTTCATAGCATTTGAAGCAACAAATTCAACGATTTGACTAAACCTCCAAAAGAATACAGAGTTTACACAGGATGGAAGAAGACAATTCTTTGCAATACTTTAAATGTTCTTACAAGAGCATCATCTATTTATGTAATAGGCTGAGCCAAAATTTTCACTGATTTCAAGGTGAAAACTTAAATGTAATAATCAATGTAAATTATCATAATGTGGAAAAGCTTTTGTTTGATGGTGCATAAGCCTAGAATTTCCAAGAAGAAAAAGAAAAGGAAAGAAAGAAAGGAAAAAGAATATCTAACAGAGTCTCTGCTAAAACAAGTCAGCTCAAAAATTTTATAACGGTATGGTGCTCCCGTTTGAAAGCCTACCTCATATGACATATTATCTAAATCAACTCCAACTTCACGTCCAGCCTGTATTTGAATGTTAGAAGAAAAATAACAAAGGTAAGAAAATAAAAAAAATTAAATTCAGTAACGCACACAGAACTCGGAGAAAAATAGAAGAACAAAAAAAAGAGTACCAGGTTCATTATCTTTTCTTCAAAATGAGTTCGTAATCTTACCTGAGCAGAGGTTCGTCCACGATTACTGTCCCATTCAGAATCTGTAGAATTTCACTCTTTTGGTCATATGGACAAGGATAAACCTAAATAACAAAGGTTTGGTGCCACAATATTGTAGAGACTGGAAAAACCACTGGGAGTGGTCCACTTGTTCAGGGTGGGTTTAGCTATCTAGGTGACTCGAGTTCAAATTGTTCAATTGTCAACTAAAGAAAAAAGTAGAGACCACATGCAAGGGCGAAAGTGAATTAAGTTTATTCAGCTGAAACCTTTAGAACTTTTACTCAAGTAAGTTCATTATAATAATCAGTTGAATTCATCGCCAGGCTACATCAAGAAGTGCTTAGATAATAGTTTGAAACAGTAAAACTTCTGTCAGCCAAATTGCATGTCTGGGGTGCATAATATAACAACATTGGACAAAGGCATATGATATTCTTACTGAAACAATCAGGAAGAGAACAAGCCTTGAATTTTAAGGTCAAGGATACTCTAGAAGAGTTTCAACTTCGAAGTCAATGAGATTTGAGAATGCCAGATGGTTCATTGCCATGCTCTGCCCAACGCATTTGCTGAAAGCTTGGAGCTAGGTAATCACAGTGTAGGGTATTTAGTCCATTGAAAAAAAAGGTAGAGATACAAACATGAAACCATTACAAGTTCCTACAAGGCCTATCATTTAAGCTGTGTGGTTACACAGGAATGTTGTGATACTACAAACTGATGCTAGTTATGATTTGCAGGCTCCAGATATTGCAAGTTCAACCCTGGGCCGGCACGTAATCCAATTTCATCCACATTTTGTGATTTTCTATTTGTTTCTCTTTAGCCTAAGGAGGCGTCTCCAGGACTGAAATTATTTGGCTAATAAATACCCGACTCGTTTTCGTAGATTTTAAAACTCCCTCAATGAAACTCCCTAAATGAAAATGCGAGTCTTTTGCAAGCACACACTATAGAGTTAGGAAAAAAATCTAGCACTTGCCAAGAGTTATCCACGAAGCTTAACCAATCACTAAATATGTTTCAAACAAAGGTTCAAAGTTTTTACCAGTTATACTTCCAAAGGGTCCATCATATAAGGACATACTCCCCAAACTATCCTCCATCTCCTGCAGTTCTCTAGCTATAGCTGCATCATCTGCCAAATGCGAATTATAACTTTGATGCAGTTCTCTAGCTATAGCTTCATCATCTTCCAAATATGAATTATGACTTCCATCCCATGATTGTCCAATCATTGCTCCTGAGAACTGCCACCAGTTACTGCTTTTATACCATGGTAAAAGGCTCTACTTATGTTAATTTTAGCAGTTTGTATTTACCAACAAAGAAAAAGGAGGTCAAATATATTCTTAGAGGCACAATCAAGACAACAGATTTCCTGAAGGGCTTTCAAGTTTCAACTCTAAGCATTGCTGTTGAGGATGCTGGATGGCTGACTGCCACAGCTCCTCCCTGCCTTTAGTTTTATGGATATTATGTTAGGCTTGGGACTTAGTACTTACAGTGAAGGTTTTTGCATTTCATTTCAAGGGATCCTTAATAAACTGACATGAAACCTATAAAAATTCTTATGAAGGTCCAACTCAGTTCTAAGAAGAACAATGACTGTTGCTTATTATAATGTGTGGTCACAGTGTAATGCTACGATACCATGAGGCAACAATTCAAGAGTACTGTTTCCATAACTCAAAAACTTTTCCATATAATCACCTTTGTTCTATAAGAGTACACTAAAATTTTGTAACCTATTCAATTTTCTGTTAAACCAGACGGGTGTAGCCATAGAATAATGGTGTGAGCTTCCCTCTTTATGATGTCCAGACCACAAAGTTTAGTAAGCCCAGATTATTTGAAAGCTATGAACTCTTCTCACGAAGGTCTGCATCTAATCTAATTCAACCCAACCCGAACAGAATATGGTAAAAAAGTCTGGTTCTAATTTTACAATTATTTTTTTGGTTATCTTGAGGCTTGAGGCATCTGTAAGCTCCAAAATAAAATCATTGACATTCCTAGTAGTCTACTAAATACTGTAGAGTTAAAAATTCAGCACAAACTTTCATCATGCAGACTAACGAGTTAGGAACAAAATCTAGTGCTTGTCAATAGTTAACCATCAAACATAAACAATCACTAGATAAAAATTAAAGGAGAGTTAATGATTTTTACTAGTTATGGATATATTCTGTAGTTGTCTAGTCATAACTTCATCATCCAGCCATGAACATCCACCCGCTTGTCGTGAGTACTGCCCCCTGTTGCTGCTTTCATGATAACCTCGATAATAGGCCACAGTATTATCATTGTCTTCGTATGATTCATACTGGGAGTATCTTCCCTGCAACATATTTATACAAAGAAGTGAAACCTTAAATTTATGATCATCAAGAACACACTTGTCTATATAATCAAGCAAAAGGAAATGCTAAACTAAAAAAGTACATAGCGCAGATAAGAGTCTGCAATGCGGTCAGCATCACCGAAAAAACAATTATAAAGTCTAGATTCGAGTGTATCCCACGAATTCGAATCATTTCCGGATCGGTTCCCTCTCATGATTACCACACAACAGATTGGAAGCAACTACTATCTAAATCCAAAAATTAACGATCCCTTCTCTTACGTTTCACATCAAACTTCTCCTTACACTTAATATGGACACAAAATTCATTACCTCATGGAAAAAACCATTTATTATCATTAACAACATGATAACAAGAATCATTTATGATAAGATCAACACTAAATCACAGCAAATTATCCTCTTAATCCTCACTTTCATACTTAAAAGTAATACTCTTTCTCATAATTGACTACAAAAGTTCAAGAGTTTACTATCCTTTCCAGGGAATGCCAAAGCTAATAATGAAATAAATTAATGGTTACTAATAAATCATAAATCATTTATCTTGAACATGTAAAACAACAACATCTTTACCTGAATCAAACCCATAAAGCATGAAGATGTTCAAGGATGAATAATTACTGAGTTTTAAAGCATACAATAAATACACAACATCACATGTGCCCATGATTGAAAGACTAAACCTTTACAGATTATAAGCATGGAAAAGAACAATAAATGTCATTAACTCATGATTACAAACATCGAGGTAAAATCTTTTCTACATTTTGGCAACATAGTTTCTTGAAAATTAAAAAAAAAAAAATTAAAAAATGGGTTCTTGAATTGAGCATTCAAGAAAAACTCACTAAAAAAAAGTTAAAGATAATGCTGGGTTTGGTTCTTCACCTTCTCTTAGCAGGTTGGAGCAGAGATTTGCTTCACCTCATCATCATTAGAGAGCTCGAAAAAAATAAGTGGGTTCCTTTGAGGAGGTGTTGATGTTTGTTTAACGTTAAAAATTTAAAGACGTCTGAAGCAGCCGGTTCAACGGCAGATCGTCTAGGTGCTATCTGGAGGACAATAATTCAGTAACATTGAACTTAGCATTTTCTTTAAGTTCAACAAACAATTCGGAATGGTTTAGGTACTCTAGGTTTTCAGTTCCACATGGTGCTATAAGATAGCAAAATATGCTTCAAGGAAAAGTTGAAGAGAGAGTTAAACCATCTCCCCGTTTAATAAATATAATAATTTAATTTAATATAAAAAAATATATAATAAGCTATTCATAAAAAAATTAAGTTTTTTTTTTTTAAATAAATTCAAGCCTGTCTGTGATACCAGAATTTCAAAAAAAACTTAATGAATTATTAAAAAATTTAGAATTCAAACCACTTAAGAGATGTTAAAATATAAACTGTATGTGGAAAAAAAAAATTAATAAACGGATAAAATTACAAACCTTGCTCTAATATAATCTAATATTGTCTATTTTAACTATTCTATCCAGGTATACAATATATATAAAAAAAAAAACTCATTTTACATTACTTAAAATTAGGACAAATCAACATTTCCATCCAACGTTTAATTAATTATATGATAATATGTTATAACGGAGATATATAAAAAAATCGATTTATCTTGATTTTAAATAATATAAAATTTGTTTTGTATCATATTTGAATAAGTAGATTAAAACAAACAACAGTAAATAATACAAGAATATGGAGTTTAATTGCCTTTTTAATAAACATAAACATATATCATAATAATTGTTGCAGAACCACTCTTGAATGCCTCCATAACAAATACAATTGAATGTATTTCATAGGATCATGCCCTCACAGTGTTTTCTTTGTATTTAATAATTCTCTATTTTGTACCTATTTGAAAAAGAAAAGGAAAACATTATAAAAAATAACAAAAGTTTAGAATTTTTTTTTATTTTTTTTAACTTCTATATGATATTAATTTGTCTTCATTTAGTTCATATCATTTTTGTTTCTTTTCAATTACTTTCATTTTTTATTTTAAGAAATAAAAAAATCAGTAAAAAATACGAAAACATTATAAAAAAAGATAACAATTTTTAAATTAAAATAATATTAAATTAAATATGATCAATACTATTTAATAGATTAAATAATTAATTTTTAAAATAACAGAGATTAATTAATTTGTTTCTAAAAATTAGAGGGGCTCGTTTACAATTTACTCAATTTGGGTTCGCTTTTCGCCCGAGCCTGCTCCATACCGATTTTGATTTTTTGGATCGAGTTTTGGGTTAATAAAAAAGGGTTTTGAGGTTTTGATAACAAAATTTAATGGAAGGATTAATGCTGCAAAAAAAATTATTTTTCGAAAACCTAGTTTTTTTTTTTTTTTTTAATTCACCGAAGGCTTATGAGCTTGATCCAAATAATGAAAAAATACTACACAATAGAGTAGCCCCACTTCTATTATATAATCACCGAAAAAAAAAACCTAGTTTTTTCCAATTATTGGCAACAACGGTCATCAGCTAGCAGCTTGACTGCCTCTTCTACCATTACAAATAACAACATTGCAAATGTTGCGACGCAGCTTCTTTGCATCCATGGAAACCATGGCATCAGCAAATGTTGTACCAGACACATATCCATCTTTTCCCACGTTGTTTCTTCTAGCAATACTATCCTTACTTTCCCTTGTCCTAAAACACAAATCTTCCAAACTCTTGGCTCTTCCACCAGGGCCAAAATCATGGCCAATTATAGGGAATGTCCTTCAAATGGGAAACAAGCCCCATATTTCCTTGACTAAACTTGCCCAAACGTATGGTCCCCTAATGTCCCTTCGACTAGGGACTCGACTTGTTGTAGTAGGGTCTTCCCGGAATGCAGCCACTGAAATCCTCAAGACTCACGACCGAGAACTCTCCGGCCGGTGTGTGCCTCACGCATCCTTCGCTAAGGACCCTAAACTGAACGGGGACACCGTAGCTTGGACGTTCAAGTGCACTGACAGAAGGAAGTACTTTCGTTCACTGATGAAGAATGAGCTATTCTCTTCAAAAGTCATTGATGGAAAGGTCAAGTATAAGAGAAAATAAGGCCAAACAAATGGTAGATTTCTTGAGAAAAAAGGAAGGAAAGAGAGTCCAAATTCGTGAAGTTGTGCTTGTTTATTCATTTAAAGTGTTAGCAAACATTTACTTCTCAAAAGATATAATAGATATTGATCAAGGTGGCAGGAGAGTGTTTGAGCTTGTAAGGAAAATTATGGGGTTGTTTACAACTCTAAATATATCGGATTTGTATCCTATACTAGGTAGTTTGGATCTTCAAGGTCTGAGCAGAAAGAGTAACGAGTGTTCGATTAGAATTCAAGAATTATGGGAGAATCTTATCAAAGAACGCAGAGAAGGCCGAAAAGATGCTGGAGAAGATGATGATTTGAGTAAAGGTAAAGATTTCCTTGATGCTTTGCTTGATGGAGGATATTCTGATGAGCAGATCCATATAATCTTTCTGGTATGATTTCTACCTTAGACATACCTATATAAAACATTCCCTTTTGTTAGGATGCTAGTAATATGGTTTGGCTTATTTTTTGGGAGCAGGAACTCTTAGCAGTAGTATCAGAGAGTAATAGCTCAACGGTCGAATGGGCGATGGCCGAACTGATAAAGAATCCACAAGCAATTAATGTTTCACCCACCTCCATTTTATTATGTTTAAGGAAACTTTAAGATTACACCCTCCAGCATCATTTCTAATACCTCACCGAGCAACAGAAGATTGTCAAGTTATGAACTACACAATACCGAAGGACACACAAGTCCTTGTGAATGTGTGGGCAATTGCAAGAGACCCTGCTAATTGGGAATACCTTTCTGTTTTAAACCTGAAAGATTCCTGAATTCTGATCTGGATTACAAAGGCAACCATTTTGAGTTCTTGCCGTTTGGCAGTGGAAGAAGGATTTGTGCTGGTATACCAATGGTTGGCAAGATAGTTCCGCTGGCTTTGGCTCATTTAATCCACAACTTCGATTGGTCTCTACCAAATAACATGCTTCCTGATGAGCTAGACATGGATGAGAGGTATGGCATCACAATGATGAAGGAGCAACCTCTTGAGCTTGTACCGAAATGGAAGAAATGATCGTTACTTCTTGTGATGATGACGAAGGAGCAACCCTTTATTGCCTTGTGCTTTTTGTTTTCTCTGTTATCTTGTGTGATTTTTTTTTTTTTTTTTTGTATTGTGCTGTGATCCATGGATCATGTCAAGCTATTTGGTGTGATTTTGTTGTGTTATGAATAAAACCTGTTTGATCATCTACTAGTTTTGTTTGAAACAAGACTATTGGAAGTCTCCGAAGACTATATCAGAAAAGAACATCCTCTTAATTTCGTACTTCAAAATAGCTAATGAATCTTAAAAGTAACTTGTCTTGAACATGAGAAACAACAAAATGTTTTTCCAAAGTTGCAAACAAGATCATTGAATTTTATGGATGGTGAAGGTGATGAAAGAGGAGATATGATGGGTTGGGTTCTTCTCTCCTCTTAATATTAATTGCTGATATCTGTGAATTCTGATGATTGCTATTTGCAATCAAAAGAGTACTAATCATGCTCTTTTGTGCCTCTCAGCCTCTTTTGTCAAAAGTGCTATTAAAAAGTTTCCAATAACAATAACAATAAAAATAAAGGTAAATTTCAATTTGTCTCTTTATAGCTTATATAGTGTCTTGATATGATGTAAGATCTTTGATTTGTTTCAGTTAGACCCGATTTTTTTTTCTTCCACATCTTTCAATTTTATTCCAATTTCCCCAAGTATATAAATTTTAATTTCATCCTTAAAGTTTATGAAATATCTCAATATTATCTAAAAAGGAAAAAAAATTAAAGTAATTAAAATGAACAAAATGTATAGATGTTAGTGACGTGAGACAACAATGGTAGTTGAAACTTTTTATTAAAAAACATTTTTTTATCATATTTATTTTTAGCTTAATTTTATTTTCATATTGTCAAAAACTACTAGATAGTATTGGAAAAAAAATTTTTTTTTCATATTTGTTTTATTGAAAAATATCTTTTTTTAATGATTTTTTCAATTTCAATTTTTTCATTCTTATCTTTTTGGTTATATTGCAATATTTCATAAACTTTAGAGATAAAATTAAAATTTACACAAAGTGAACAAAAATGAAAGATGGAGAATCTAATTAGAATAAATCAAAAGATTTTAAGTGAAGTTCAAAAAATAGATAAACTTCAGGACAAAATGAAATTTACCTTGAAAATAACAAGAATAATATACAGCGGCCCTAGGAATCAAGGGACGATGGTGTACCATACTAGATTTGGTTGGCCTTCAGAGCTTCACAAGCAGGAAAGCAGTTGAGCTCTGAGTGTGGCAGGAAGATGGTTAAGCTTCAAGTAAGAGCAATCACTTTGGAATTAATTTATATAGCCGGCAATGGATTTATGATAAATATTGCAACTTATTTGAAATAAATACGTGAAAAATTCTCTTCCATGGCTGGCAGAGACAGAATAAAATACTTCACAGGTCCCATTATCATCAATCCATCCACCCAATGTTTTCCTTGAGAACCTCTATTATACTTACTACTCTTGACAAACAAGTTAGAATCAGAATTTACTTTTGCAAATAACGTTTGAAATTTAAAGCAACGATATTCATTTCTTTCTAGGAATCACAAGCACTTCTACTAGAGTTCAAAAACTGTCCTAAAACCGCACATTCAGTTTAGTTTCACAAGTCATGTTCTGAGCAATTAGAGCAAAGATTTTTGGTTACATATCATACAAGGCTTTTAAATATCTCTCAATTGATCACAAGGTTTCAGGAATCACCAAATCATGATTGATTTGATCAATCACCTCCCACTTGCCTCTTCCATGAGTCTTCCACGATTAGTTCATCAACTCCCCAGTCTTCGTAACTGGATAATTCCACAGAAAGCATTAGAGAGCAAGGGCAGACTACCATATCAAAGAAGAAACATGCTATACATTCCCCTCCCACTGCAAGGGGTGAATCAATTTGCTAAGAAAAAAGTTTAAGCTAATAATCTCACCTTCCATCAGGCAGGTAGCGACGGATGGTGAAAGGTATTTTTCGCTCACGAAGCTCCTTCATAGCAATCTAATTAAATGAATAAACCAAAACATCAAATTATTCAACTATGAGAGAAAGGATAATCTATGACCAATTGTCCTATAGTAAATTGTTTCCTACTTCAAAAACTTCACCCATTAAGCAAATTCTCAACAAGCCCACATATATTACGGTGAGAAACATATCTATTCTTATACATCACGCTGTTAAGAAACACATGACTAAAAAATTAAATGGTGAGTCAAACAACTGTCAACAAAGAAACACCCAAATCCATTCTTATCAACTTAAACGTACCTTCACATGGCAACAGTGTTCAGAAAAAAGCTTTGTGGATCACATGTATGCTTATTATGACATGTACATGACACAAACATTAAGCTATGTAGTGTGAGCTGCAAAATACATCAACTATAGTGCCTTTTGTAACCCAAGAAAGGTATATGGCTAAAGAAATCTGTACATGCATACAAGCGTAAAACACCAGAACATACTGTTGCCCACACAAACCATATCATATATAGCAAGGTGGTACACCAATAACTACAGCATGTTTCATCTCTATAAAGCTATTATCTAGTAACCCAACATAGATCCCAGTAAAATAATCTTACCTCGAGCGGGTCAGTCTCACCCTCCAACTCAACCATCACGGGAGCATTCATGCTGCAGAGCCAAAGAAGAAATTAGCAATCTCATAAAATCAACTGGACCAGCCGAATTTTACAGTGACAAGGTTTGTTAGAGGAAAAAAATGAATAAACCTGATCTGAAGAGCACGAGTTCCCAAAATTCTAGCACGCTCATATTTTGTCATAAATTTCGATGTTTTACGAGGCCGTTCCACTGTTGGCTGTTCCTCTTTATCCTCAGCTTCAACTGGCTCCCCTGCGTCATCTTCATTGTTAATGTTCTCAATGTCTTCTTCAGCTCCTTCCTGTTCAATCATTTCACCAATATTTTAAATAAAACAAGATAGATTCTTCAGTTACAGAAAGCAAATCACAAAATCAACTTCTTACTTCAATCTCAGGCTCTGGTGGCTCATCCTCGTATCTGCAACAACAATTTAGAAAACCTTAGGGAAAATAACTCTGAAAGCAAAAATTTGCAAAGGCATACACACAGTATCTTGAGTGGTGATAGATATTCAAGTGGTTTCTAAAATCTAAACTACCTAATTCCTTAACATCACCTCAAGACATTAACACAGAACTCAAACACTCATAACCAATACAAAAATTAGCAAAACCCTGCTTCCGGCAACTAAATAGCCAGCATAAGTTTCAGTCTTTAATCTAGTATCAAAATTGTAATGAAATCGAGCCAAACTATTGACCACATCAACCTATCTAGACTCATACCAACAACATCTTAATCAAATTAAACACACAGCAACTGCTTATCAAATCAAAATTATTACTTCATGGGCTTACAAGATCGACAAAGCAGAAAATTTTCCATCAAAGAACAATCATATTAACACTATAAACTCAAACTTCAATCATGAAAATGCAGAGCATGGTTAACAGTATAAACAAAAAATAATCAAATAAAGAAAAATACCAGAAATTTACAAAGCCCTAGACAAAAACTTCCTAATGATCTCAAATATAGCAAAATTCCATCCTTATATTCATTTGGGTATCTGAATAAACCAAAAGAACTCCATTCATCGTACTATCAAAAGTCAAAACCCTATTTTCTTTCTATTTTGCAAGGAGAAAAGAAAAACCTAGCTCCTTTTTCATCAGAGAGAAGGAAAAAGAGCAAACCCCATGTCCATATCATTGTATTCATCGTCTGCCATTGTTGATTCTTGAAGATGGAAGGAAAGCTTCCCTTTGGTTCTTTGAAGGTCTAAAGCCCTTTCTGTTGCTGTGGAATGAGACAGAGCGAGAAACCCTTGTTGGCTTTTGCCTTATATTTTGGTGCTGTAGTTACGTTTGGTTAAATAACAACTTAGTCCTCTAATTTTCTATTAATGTCAATAAAAACCTTCAAATATTTATAAAATATCACAAGCGTTCCTAGTATTTCCTATTTTGTTTATTTGTCTTTTGTTTCCCAATTTTATCTTTGCTTGCTATTCTTTTTCTATATAATTTTGTACTTAATTTTTTAATTCTTAGGTTACGTTTCAATATATTTTTATTTTTATGTTTGAAATCATGATTTTATATTTTTTTTTGTTCCATAAAAAACATAATTTATATTTTCCAAATTATAAAACCATAATTTCATTTATCAAATTTTTAATAAGATATGGTAAAATATGAGACTGTAACATCCTCGTAATTATTATTGAAATTGAACTAGATTGATGATATCTCAAGCTTGAGTTTAGAAATAAAAATGTAATTTTTACCTAATGAATAAAAAATTTCACTTATCCAATAAAACTCTACAAATTAAGAGCAATATAAAAATAGAATCAATAACTTAACCTGTTCTTATATAATGAGATGTTTCTTTAATTTATTCATATTTTTTTAATGAATTAATTTTATCCTTATATATCCACTAGGTTTCTAATCTATCATTTTGGAGTAAATTAAAAATTATTCCTTTTAGTTTCGAGAAAAAAATAGTCTCTTGTTTTAAAATCTAATTATCTAGTCTCTATATTTTTAAATTTTCTTGTAACTTAATCTTTTTTTCTATTTTTTAATTTATTTTAATTTTAATTTTAAAAAATAGATAAAGATAAAAAAAATAAGGAAGGATTGGTGAGAAAAGATGACACTTATTAAAATAAAATAATATTAAATTAAGTGTTGTGAATACTAATTAAGAGACTAAATAATTAATTATTAACATAAGGAGGACTAATTATTTTTTTTGAAAACATAAAAGAATAATTTATAATTTATTCATTCTTTTCACAAGATTTGTGGACCAAATCACCACATTATTATTTTTTATTTTATAATATTTTTGTAAGCTAGATAAATGGAAGAAACCACTCTATTAATTTCGATAGTTTAATCAGAAAATCTTATGATTAGAATATATTAAAAACTTATGATATATTCATGATATATTCAAAGATAAATATGATTTAATTAAAAATATAAGAAAATTAGAGGAATTATCATATTATAGAAGTATAGATTGAGTCTATTAATCCATAAAAAATGTTAAATGCCTTGACCTATTTCCAGGGAGCTGATTTGCCAAAACATCATAGGGCTCTCTTTAGCAACACTGTATACACAGAATTGCTTATGATTCTAACATTAATTCCTCTATAATTCATCTTAATTCCATGCAACAATCATGCAATCTAAATTTATATATGCTAGGTTTGATATTGATTTAAGCAGGCAAAATCACTTTATTAATTCCCAGTTAGAAATATGGAATTTCTCTCTTACTGAAGAACGTTGTGGTAGCTACGCCTGGACTACTGTTCTTGCTTAAAACTTTAAGATTGTTTTGGTTTCGATTCCCACAGACTTGATAACCTCTTGCTGGCTTTTCTTAGACAGATTGTCAAGCAGGGATAGAATTTTCTATCTTTTTTGACAGACCAAGAATTTCTACTTCCGAGAACTCTTTCTATCCTTCTCAGGATTGCTTTCTGTAATACTATGTGGCCATCTGGCCCTTTCCAAAGTTCTGAAAGTATCATTCAGATCACAAATTCGGCAGTGAAATGCCAAGTTCTTCTGCTAGGAACTTGCTGTCAAATGCTAAATTATATGCCTGGATTTTAGATTACTGTTTTCTTTGCAAAGGTTGTTCTTTTTGCGAAGTTACACCAAACTTTTCATTCATGTCTAACTTTGCAGGATCCTCACCATTTGGAAGAGACCAATCAAAGCTATCTATCAAAGTGGCTACAACTAAATGAACTTGCCTGGTAGCCATAGGAAGTCCAGGGCAAATTCTTCTTCCTGCCCCGAAAAGTAGAAACTCAAAATGCTGACCATTGAAATCCATATTCGAGCCGAGAAATTGCTCAGGTTTGAATGATAATGGATCTTCCCAGATTGAAGGATCGTGCCCGATCGATAGCCCAAATATTCACAGTTACTTGAGAATCTCTCGGAATGGTGTAATTCATAACCTCACAAGTCTCAAGAGCACTGTTAGGAACGAGGAACGGTTCGGGATGGTGTAACCTTGGTGTTTCTTCTCGACAGGCATTCAAATATGGAAGTTGAGAGACGTGATATTCCTTGAAGAAACTGTTTGTGATTTCTCTTTTTAGCTCTTCTCTAACTTTCTTCATGACTTCTTTGCTTTTAAGCAACTCTGTTATCACCCACTCTATTGCTGTGGCTGTAGTTTCTGTGCCTACAGTGAAAAATTCCTACAAATGGAAGTCATAACATTAACTGTGCTTGAAGCATATTCATCCAGAACTAGAAATTAATAATGAACGCACACAAGAGAAAAAGTAAGTGATTCTCATCTCAGCATACCAGAACCAGCCAATTGATTTGCAAGTCATCAAATCCATTTGCAAGAAAAACATCCAAGAAATCGGTGCATCATGGACGTAGCTATCTCTTCTTTCCTTGATGTAAATTCTCCATATCGCAAACATTTCTTCAACACTTTCTGAGAATTTCTCTTGAGTCTTTTGAGGATCCAATCTGCAAATATAGGATAAAAGTCAGCTAAATTTGGAGTAGCCCCCAGCTCTGCCATCCTTCGGACAAGGCTTTTCAACCGACTAGCTGCCCCATCGTCTTCAAATTCTACGAAGTCCCTTGAGAAGAAAAGATTAGATAGTATAGTAAAAACAGTTGAAAACACAGTTTCTCCAATACCAACAAGCCTTTCCTTCCTTAGTTCCCAAAAATTCCACTATCTCTCCCACTTTCTTCTTTCTCAAAACGGCTTGTGACTCTATTGCTTTCAATGAAAATAGCTCATTCCTGCACAGTGCTCGCACTGACTTCCATCCCCTTGTCAATTTGGGGTCTGAGATAGTGGCTATGCGGTCTAGAACATTGCTTAATTTCGTATGGAGCCATTTTGGAGAGATATCTATCAGAGAGTAAACGATCATTAATAGTTTTAAGAATTTCAGTTGCTGCCGTCTTAGATGACCCAACAACAAGGAATTGACTGCCAAGCCTTAGTGAAATTAAAGGGCCATGAATTTTGGCCAATTATGTCGTTGAGATATGAGGCTTTTTTCCAATATGGAGAATGTTGCCTATGACAGGCCGTGGCTTAGGTCCTGGTGGAAGAGACTTCCTTGCAGAAGAAGATGAGTTATAAATGTTCTTCAGGATGATAAAGAATATTAGAGGCAGAAAAAGAAGAATGGGAAAGGATAAAAGATGGAGCACTTGTCTAAAAGATGTTGGATCCATATCCTTCAGAAGCCTAAACTGGTTTAGGGTTTCAAAGGCTTGCAGTTCAGCAATCTAGCTACAAGAAAGCACCAATTTTGTTTCTCAAAAAATCTTTAGGTAGCTTTAATTTAGCAGTCCTGACACAGAACTGATTAAACAACTATTTCACCTAAAATAAATAAATAAATAAATAATCTAAAGCCATATATGGTTTTAGCGTAGCTAAGCCTAGCTATGGTGAAAAAAAAAAAAAAAAAAAAAAAACCTAAAAAAGTAACTGAATTTTTGTCAATTTATCTGATCCTTCACTTTATAATGTTGTTCAAAATAGTCTCCTAATTATATATTTATTGCAGATGGATTCTTATTTTATTTTTTTTATGCCTAAACCGTGCTTCAGGCCAGCCGCATGGGCCTAGTTGTCTCCAAATCCATTCTGATGAGTTTTGTGTTAGCCCAGCCTAGCATTTTTTTAATAGTTTTTTTAAAACTTTTTTTTTCATTATTTATCATTTATTCAAAATAAAAATTTTCCTTTTTATGCTTGTGTTTTATTAATTTACATAATTAATGGTTACATTTTTATTTTTTATAGACTAATTAAATAAAATTAAACACTCGTATAATATACATTGATTTAAAAAATAATAATTAATTGCAATTTTTTTTATTGATTAAAATACAAAATATTTCTAAGATATATTTAAATTCAATTATGGAATATATATTTTATTAAATATTTCATAATATATATTAAATTAAATTAATTCTCACAATTAGTGTTAATTAATTTTTATTTTATGGCTAGTTATTTTAATTATATAAAATATTAAAACAAAAAATTAATGATTTTTTTTAGACTCATTAAATTAAAAATTAAACACTATTATAATATAAATAAAAAAATTAACGGTTTGTTTTAGACTCATTGACTAAAAAATTAAACAATGGTCTAATATAAATTGATTTAGCATATTCTTCTAATTTGATTTTTAAAAAATAATTAATTAATTACATGTTTTCTTTTTTATTTTTTTGTTATTGATCAAAATAAAAAATATTCCTAAGATATATTTAGTACCAATTATGAAATATATATATATATATATATATATATATATATAATTAAACAAATTCTCATTATTGGTATTTTTATTTTACTTTTAATTTTTTAAAGTATTTAAAATAATAAAACAAATTATATAGGTTTACTCTCGACAACGTACAATATTATGATAATTCTCTCTAAAATAACGTCTCATATCCTCCTAGATTTGACATAGTTGCTAATTAAGTAAGTGTTAGGTGCACATGTGAGTGGTAATTATTTCATGTTAAAAAAAGAAAAAAGAAAAAAAAGTGTTTATATGTAAAATGAATTTATGATCCATTGTTTTAAATTCTTAGGTTGGATGCGGGCTACTTTGTGTCTAAGTTCTTACGCATATAGACCCAAACTTGGACGAAGAGACCACCTTGATTAAAATGGAATTTCTTATGCATAATATATATATATATATATATATATATATAAGATTCAATCCATCTCGATTCCTCATGATTCATGAAGAGAAGAAAATAAAATAAAATAACAAATCATTCATATATATATAAACTTGATCCGGCCTTGGTTGTGGCCGAGATGCGCTAATGGATTGAGAACAGTACTCGTCTAGACGGCCAGATCCGTCCAAATATGTTGGGATGGAAAAAGAACATCATATTAGATGATTTTGATATAAAAATATTAAAAACATGAAAAGCATTTTTGTTTTTTTAGTTGAAATATATTTTACAAAAAACACTTCCACATCATTGTCAAACACAAACTATCAAAAAGCTAACATCAACATCATCTCCATTAAGATTATTTCTCATCAATTTGAATAATCATTTGATCGTGGATATTAGATATCCCAATATGGTGAAAAAAAAAGTCGGTACTTTTGCTGCCCCGCATCATAAATTATTCATCTTAAAGAAGTAAACAGGGTTAATTTCTTGAAATTAACGTCATGAAATAATGGACTTTTATGTGGTCATTGCTTTAAAAAAGAAAAAAAAAGTTTCGAGGATCTCTACATCAATCGATGATAAATTTCAGTTTCAAGGAGAAATTTTATAATATATCAAGAAAGTAACTAGTGGCATATACATAAGTTATTTTATGAATCCACTTTGAGGAGAAGGATAGACATACAAAAAAAAGAGAGAGAAACAGGGAGAGATAAAATAAAAAAATTTGAACAGACGTGAAAATCTTCTTATCATTTTTAATGGATATAGATGTAATTTTTATTTTTTTATATGTCTATCTCTCTCTTCAAAATAAATTCATGAAATAACTACATGCATATGCATTAGTTATTCCTCATGTATTATAAAATTTCTCGTTTCAAGATGCCATTCTTAACTAAGTGTTTATTAACGGTGATTATTTAATTTAACAGTTATGAATCAACCGTGGAGGGCGGCTACAATATCAACACGGGACGCAATGACGTATTCACATTCATAATATTTTAAAGCAATGTCCAAGAAGATTAGTTGGTTTGAAAAATACTCCAATCGTTTTAAATAAATAATCTTAAATTCGAGTTTTTTATTCATAAAATTCTTTTATATAATTAAATCTTATTTATGTATCTGATAAAATAATAATAAAGGATTAATTTAAACTATTAACGCAACATGCAGATATATTAATATGTTTTATCTATATATTTACTGACGTGATAAGTAATATTGCTTATTATATTAATAGATGCCTTCTCTCCTTTGAACTTAGCCTTTAACTTTATAGATATGACATCCTAAAATACTATTAAATATAAGGATTTTATGAACGTTCATGAATGCTAAATCATAAATCGAATTGTCAAATCAAAGATGTTAGTCGCTATCGAATAGTTTTGTATTGACTAACCTCACGAGTTAGTTGCTATCGAATCGTTTTGTATTGACTAACCTCACAGTTGGAGATAAGCGAATTCAAACAGCTGACATCTGCCATAGGAAAAACCATCACCCCTCGGTCCCCGACTAATTCTACCATAGACTTTGGTAGGGTACACCTTAACCAACTCTTAGATTGAAGCACTACAAAGATGAAATTCTATGCATAGCCAGAGATTTAGTTGGACATTGATTAATCTTACCAAATCTCCAAAATTTTATGCTGCTGCCAAGTTATATATTCCACCTCGAAGGGAAAAGCAAAATTACCCATAAAAAAGGGTAGGATAGTTGATTTTATGGGTAGATCTGAGATAACAAAGTAGGTTGAATTTAATGGCAGAATCAACGTTTTGAAACTTACATTTTTCGTCTAGGAATAACAAGCAGAGGCTGTTCTTTCTGCAATGTTATGCCAAACTTTTCACTCATGTCTAACTTAGCAGGATCCTCACCATTTGGAAGAGACAGATCAAAATGATACACCAAAGTGGCTATAATCAAATGGACTTGCTTAGCTGCCATGGGGAGTCCAGGGCAGATTCTTCTTCCTGCACCAAAAGGTAGAAACTCATAATCCTGCCCCTTAAAGTCCAAATCAGAGTCGAGGAACCTTTCAGGCTTGAACGATAAAGGGTCTTCCCAGAGCAAGGGATCACGCCCTACAGCCCAAACGTTCACAATTACTTCAGAATCTCTTGGAATCGTGTAATCCATAACCTTACAGGTCTCCAGAGCTCTGCGTGGGATAAGAAATGGCACAGGAGGATGTAGTCTGAGTGTTTCCTTTACACAAGCATTTAAGTAAGGAAGTTGAGAGACATGAGATTCCTTCAATGAATTTGTGTCCATTTCTCTGTTTATCTCTTCACTAACTCTCGTCAAGACTTCCTCGTTCTTCAGCAGCTCAGCCATTGCCCACTCTACTGTTGTGGAAGTTGTGTCTGTGCCTGCAGTAAGCAACTCCTGCAAATCAAGTAAAAAAAAATACAGATGAGCAAGCTTAGAGTAAAAGAAAGTTTGGCTTGTTAATCATGTCTTGATTTGATCCAAAGTTTACATACCAGAACCAACCAATTGATTTGAAGATCTTCGAATCCATTCTCAAGAAAAACATCCAAGAAATCTCTTCTTGGACCATCTTGGACACGGCTTTTTCTTCTTTCCTTGATGTAGATTCCCCAAATGTCGAACATTTGGTTAACACATTTTGACATATTTCTTTTTAGCCCTTGAAGATCTATACCTCCAAGAACAGGATAAAAATCAGCAATATTTGGAGTAGCCCCTAACTTCATCATCCTCCACATAAGGCTTTTCAACCCAGTAGCAACCCCATCATCTTCCAATCCAATCAAATCTACAGAGAATAAAAGGTCAGCTATTGTATTAAAAACAATAGTAAACACGACTTCTCCAATACTAACAACTTCTCCTTCTCTTCGTCCTAAAAACTCCACCATCTCCCCCATTTTCTTCTCTCTCAAAACAGCTTGTGACGTTATTGCTTTGGTTGAAAATAGCTCATTCCTGCATAAGGCTCTCAAGGACTTCCATCCATCAGAGCACTGTGTGGCCCAAACAATTGCTATGCGGTCAAGGACATGGTTTTCGAAAAGAGCTGCCTTAGACACATATCTAGCAGAGAGCAAACGGTCATGAGTTTTGAGAATCTCAGTCGCTGCCATCTTTGACGACCCAACAACGAGGAGTTGTTTTCCTAGCCTTAGTGAGATTAGAGGGCCATGAAGTT